AAACGAGAACAGCTATCTGTTGGCGCGCTCGCCATCAAACCCTTCGCATGTGAAACGTGAACCTACGATTTGGTTCACGCGATCAAACAGCCATGCCACCCAGGTGACCCGATCAAAATTCACGCATTGCGTGGAGCTCTCAAGTCATGCGTCTGGTTCCCTGACTGCTACAGTAGAAGGGCGGTGACACTGTGAACAATGTTATTCCTACCATGACTGTAACATCGACGAGCCATGGATGAAGTTCCACTCCTATCTCAAGTGGTTAGAAGTCTTTCAATTGTTCGGCTGACCGGGCCTGACATTTCAAGTCGAACGAGGTGGAAAACTGTAACAGTTAACTGTGCATCTGATGTAGAGGGTGGGTGGATATGATCTGATTGATGCGGTGAGCGAAGCCAGCACAAAGCTAACCTGAGCACTGAAACAGAATTGATTCGTCAACTGATTATTACCAGCAATAAAGTTGGTTTTGTTATAGTAGAACATCGTTTATTGTTGGCAAATTAAAGGATTTCCGCGAGCTCCCGTATGTCCGTTAGTCACGGAAAGGGTAGGTTATTTTTCGGTTCATAACCAGCAATTGAGAAACAGGTAACACGGAATAAACAATGGTAGATTTAATAAGTTATTCTATACTTGTCCGGATAAGTGTTGAATCAAGTGAACCGTTAATTTGTGCGTAACATTAGATTTCAGTCACATGATTCCTAATGCAATGTGAACGTTCAAACCACTGACAACTAAGGAAGCACTGTACAGCTGACTGGACTTGACTTGACTTCATCATCGTCACCAACACATTTCTAGTGTGCCAATGTAGTAGTGCCTTGTCAGTCCATCTACACACCATCAGATAGGATCTCCTTTTGATAATTCCTGTGTGATTATCTTGACCCGTTTACGTCAAAGCAAGCTGCATACTTTTTCCTACAACGGACGACAATTGCTCTAATTAATTCGAAATGGGCTGGATTCAATTTTTTCTGGAAAAGATACAACCTCACCACATACGGGCCGGCGGCGATCAAATCATGGTATTTTTGCTAAATAACGGACGGTGTTATTTGCACATAGAGAAATCGTTATTAGTGGTTCATTCTTGAATAACGACACCGGTATATATTTATGACTAGTTTCATGTTACAAGACTATCGTTGGTTCACCTGCTCGTGGGTCACAAATGTGCACCATTGACCGTATAACTTTAAGACATGACCCAACAGCTTCCATTGTTCGCGATTATGATGCGTTATCAAACTGTGGCTTAGTACACAATTGTTCCTAATATTATAATTTGAAGAACAAATGAAGACCGTAAGGAAGTTATTCCATGTACCTCTGTCGGTTAGTGTTGTGTCAGTATCTTGACATATAAAATTTATTGGCATAAGACGAGGCTTCGGATTTCACTGACTCCATTTCGTTGTCATCCATTTATCCATTTCCTTTCTCTTACGATATACAATGACAACTTCTTTTAGTAAAATCTAATGAGCACGCAATCGACAGGGAAGGAAAAGATGGATTCATTGGGCGTCGAATAAATATGTGCTATCTATTCATGCAATGCTGTCATATCATTTTTAGTTCCAGAATTTTGCTACCAGAGCTTTTTTTATTTTCATGGATCTGAAGCGGCTCTAAATGGAGTATACTCCATTTAATATCCATAGAAAGTAAATCGTTAATGCGCGTTATACCCGTGCAACTGATGACCGCTGAACGGCGATAATATTGGTTATACATGATAATCCATTCACACTGCTTTCTTTTAACGAAATCTAGCTGATTACTGTGTGCAATAAACTGCGACAATGAATCATCATCCTGTGTTATCCTGTTTTGGAGTATCTGATGGTTCTTCAAGCAGAACAGAATTCACTGTGAAAATAAGATTGTCCAAATAATATAAACCACTTCATCAGTGCAGGTTGCTCGGATGACCTGAGGTTTGCGTGTGAAACGTGGAGTCCAAAGGACAGCCAACCAAACAAAGATTCATCAATCCCACACACTACTCGCAAGCAATTGCGTGATATATATACCAAAAAACGCGAAGCAGGTTTAAAAATGCGGGTCCGTTGCCCTCATCCTGTGGAGGAGACCTGATCTGGTGGGAGGATTTCGCTTGGAGTTAACTGGTTTGGTACCGTGTCTCCATTTGAAGCTGTCGGGCATTTCTGGCTGTCACAGAGGACGACATCTGAACAATGTTAACTTGGTGATTCGGATCAGCTTGGACGGGAGCTGGGTGGCGCCGTGGTAAGACGCATGCCTTCGAGATGGAAGGGCCCGGGTTCAAACCCTGGGTGTGGCGGAGGATATGCACCACTGATGAGCTCTAACTAGAGCGAAACTCTAGTCTGGTGCCACCAAGTGCAGGTTGGTCGGACGAGGTTTGCGTGTGAAACGTGGAGTCCGGGGACGGCCAAGCGAACAAGAATTTGTTTCAGTTGGACGACGGCCTGTTTTACGATTTCGGCATATTTATCTTCAAAATCATAGACCGTTTGCTAGTATTCATCCTTTTCAGCTACCGTTAATTTAACCGAACGTTATTTAAAACATTTTTACCTGATACACTCCTTGAACTAACCGTTGATATAATACCAAGGTTGCATATTTTGAATAATGTCATGGGCGTCACGTACAAGATCTTACCTTCAATCCCATAAGGCTATATCAGCCATACATATCTGTACACACGCAAGTAGCCCGCAACATTTTAGGTCACTTTTGCATGGATCCGCAAGGGAGAGCTAACCAATAATTCCGCATACACCACTTAGCGGAATCAGATACCTTATTTCAAACCAAAGCTCATTTTCCAAAATAGATTATTATATTCGGAAAAGCAAGGTGCAATGTGTACACTAACTGTAGCAACCATTTATCATCCTTCGTCTTCGTATTGTCCTCCGTCGGGCAGTTTCTGTAAGAGGGGAAATTGTTGAAAACAGATGGTCAAAATAAAATGAAAAAATGAATTATCTAAGTTTGACAATCATGTATCCTAGACGGCCACTTGTTATGATTAGTGAACCCGTACACTGATGCTAACACACCGTTTACCACTTCTTTCCATTTGCAGTGATTCATCAGCTACGGTTCACGTCACTTTTACCGACCGTTATTGTACTATTATCCAGTAGCACATCTTGAAGTTGATGAGCATAATATTCACTATAGACATTCATAGGCATTATTTGGTTTCAATCAGTTTCCCCTTAAAGTAAAACCTTTTACGCGCCGCGGTGCGTAGATGACCGCACTAGTAGCACACCTGTGCACAAGATAAGGTATCAGCTGCGCAAACTCCGCTCATTGGTAAGATACGACAGTGGTCATTTTTTCCTGACCACAAGTAAACCAACCAGCGGGGACTAAGCGACGAAGTGGTCAGACGCGGCCAAATAACCCTAAATTTCGACCCCACTTGTGCTGGCTGGGTCACCAATTTTCGCGGTTACATGATTGCAGATGCTAGTAATTTGTTAAATACCAATCAAGGGAGATAGAAGTATCTTAGCAGCGTACTAAGCGGCTGGATAACTCGAAAATTCCTTTGGTGGTCGACATTTGTGAAAATCCAAACGGCAAAACTAACCTGGAAGAAAATCGAAAGAAAAGCAGCAGTCTGGATGGGCACCAGCTGTGATTAATAGGTTAACAGTGTGAAGTTCATCAAAAACCAAGACCAATTTCATAAGCCCTATCCTCCGTGGTGTAAGGGTTGATAACATGGATTACTTTAAGCTCTACGAGGAATTCATCTACTTCCTTCCTCAACGCTGATGGGCGGTCGAGTGAACGAACTTCTAGTGGCATTTCATTCCAAAGTGAAAAGAACTTTAAAGAAATTAGATCGCAGGCTCGTCTTAGAAATCGGGACAGCGACAGAGAATCCGCTTTGCCGTGATCAGCACCGAAAGATGGTGGATAATCTGAGTTGTGGTGATGAGCCACTAATATGACGTTTAGTGAGTTTATGGAAGAAAGACAAATTAGTTTTCAGTCTTCGTAGCCAAACAGGATCTAGATGTGGAAGATGGCAGCGTTGCTTGTCGTTCAGTGTTGTAGAGTAACCTAGTAATTGCTTTGTGAATGTTCTTTGTATATTCTCGATGGATATTCGGTCACACTGTCGCATACTGGAATAGACTATTGACCCATACTCCAAAAGTGATCTGATATGGGTCTTATAGACACTGAATTTGCTTTCTTGTAACAGAAATGTTATATGAAGTAATCCGACCGGCCTTCGAGCCCGCGAAACTTGAATAGCTGTGTGTTCGGAGAAGTTAAACGAGCAAGAGTACTGAAGACCCAAATCTCGTATTGATGAATTGCTTGCAATTGTTCGATCATCTTTTCTAGACAGCCCTAATGGTACAGTACATTAATAATTTAGCATACTACTTTTTTCAGCAGAGAACTTCATTAACCAAGTGGTCCCCCGAGTCCTTAGTGAAGTGAGATCCTGCAACGTTACTAATGGTAGTGTTCAAAGATATACTAAACTTTTACGTCATCAGCAAAGAGAAAAGGAATTCCGTGACGGATTACGCAGAATATATCGATTACATACATGAGAAAGAGCATTGGTCCTAGAACGCTTATAGAAGACGTTCGAGGGTGGCTAGTGAACGCCCAAGCAGCACGCCGTCACCTGAGTATCCCCTCCGAAACAAAAAAGGACATTCAGGTGACGGTCACGGAAGCTTATCGAAACCGATTCCTCTGATCCCATTAAATTTGTAACACTAACTTCAACACCGAAATACGTACATGCTAAATAACATACTGGTAATCCGAAGTTCAGCGCAAGTGCATAAGCACGACCATCTTACAATAAACTTAACCATACAACATTTAGCTGAATTAATTCCCGGAGTTAAAATAAAATACAGATTTTACAGGGGATAATTATATATTCCGCTATTCGTAAATCTTTGTACAATGGGCTCGTTAGCAAACAATCGTCATCCAACCATGGGTCATTTTTGTGTACTTTGCAGTACCTGGAACAAAGGAAATAGGATACTTGTTGAACCGGTGCAGTACGAAATGTCGTTACAATTTTCAACGTTAGAAATCGGCTTATGAGAGGGATCAGCAATACATAATATAATAACGATGATCAAGTCAAAACTGACCTCAACACTTTCGGTTTGGACGGCCACGTCCTAAAGTGGTGAATCAGTGCTAATAACCTCAGTCGGTCTGCACCTTTGAATCCAACATTGAATCTTTTCATTTATAAGTGTTGTAGCTCCGGGAAAATTGTGCTTCGTTACTGCGTCTACGAATACAGGAGAGGATAACACAGAACGGCATACTCACCGACAGTTATTCCACAGACTCTTGTATTGGCAAATGATTGACGGCCGTGGACACCGCACCAGTTCAATTTGTGCAAAAAGCAATCGGAGGTCAGTGTACACGTTGTTTGACGTACACAATCCCCAACTGTTCGCGTTCCCGTTGCAACAATGAAATGCAACTGCTAGTCAGAAAGTTATGAACAATATAAGTTACCATTTGTTCGAGTAAAGTTTCATGTTCCAATTTTACATCGAACCTCTTGAACTCCCATGCGTTTCGCACGGGAACAGCGCACTGCATGAACGGCACCGATGCACCGGCAACAGGTTCAAATTTACAGTTTACGCTTGACGTCCTCCATCGTTTTCTGCAGTTCCACAACCCGAGTAGTAAGATCATTCATCATAGCTGCAATTAATGAACGTAACATCCGAAGTTGGACATACACGCCAAAGTTTTTCCATAAGTAGTGTTCCGAAACTCGAACTGTTGCATTTTTTACCTTCGTTACTGTTTCCGTTTTCCTAAATGTAGAAAAGGTGACAATCTATTCTAAACATGCACGTACTGTACAAAGTGCCTCCGAGTGTCTCGAATAGGGATTGATGCTGCTGGTATGATGGAATGAGTTGTGACTTGGGATCTGAACACGTCATCAAAATAGATAAATACGTACGTGGTGACTACTGGACACCAAAGATAGCTGACATTAGCAGTTGCTTCCAGTTGACTCCGTTTCGGAGGTGTAGCGGCGGACATGTCTTCCAGAACCGGCAGTGGTGACAGATCAATGTCAACTGGTAGTGTTTCCCATCGCTTGGTTTTCTCATCGGAACTCGTACCTGAAAACTGCTTCGGTCTCCTGAAAAAGTTATTTTGGCAACATTAGCTCGTATACCTTTTCCTTTTAGCAAAGCAATCCATCGCCGCTGTTGCGTCGAAAGATGGTAGTTCCGACAATTCTTTCAGAAGTCTTTGACAGCGGAGAGCATCGTCGAATGCATCTACAAGCGACGGACACTGATCAGACAGTTACCTAACCTTTTATGCACCTAAACATCGTAACCAGGAGTGATAGGTGGTGGTGGTTGGCCCTCACGAACGAGCTTCTGGATTCTACTGGTGGGGCAACGAGGCCACTTAACCTTACTGTGGCCAGTCATCCATTTTTCATTTACAATGGCAACGGAGTTATTCACTAAGAACTCGACAAACATCTGAAATGGAATAAATATAGACTAGATTTACCATAAATCCGCCCATGTGTGCAATATGGGATAAAACACCCACTTGTCACCGTAAGGTAGTAATAAACCTTTGCACATGATCTCATTTGGACCGTCCTCTTGGACAAACTGTGGAAACGGAATATGCCCAACTGCCCAGAGGGAATTGGGTAGTCGAAGAATTCGTCTCAGTGTTCAAAGAAATAAGCATGTAACAGTGCACCTTCCCTTCTTTGGATGGCGGCCGGTCTGCGGTCGATCAGTGCACAGTTATTTGGGGTTTTATTGCTATAAATTGTTGAACCAATGCCGATCAATTGGCCATTCAGTCCGCTCCGTCTCACGGACTCGGAGAAAGTTTTGTCCCAGAATTTTACATTTGTGTACAGGTTGGCCTCAGCACATCGTTCCTGAGTGCGACGAAACACTTGTTCAGCTATCAGGTGTCGACTGGTCACACAATTGCCAATAAACTGCATGTAGGACTCGAACGGAAAGGCCGAGACGTTATCCAGTGGTCCGTGAATCCACACATCAGCAATGATGTGCAGCCAACTCTGCACGTTGAATACTACCTCCTTTTCTCCGTACAACGTCATGAATTTCTGGACAACCCGGGGCAACTGGCGTTCAATATAGTCCAAGTAGTGGGGAGACCACTTGGCGCTACACAAAATGTAAGTGAACACATAAAGTTCCTGTAGTGATCCGCCGGCAATACATTCTTGAAAACCACGAGTCCGAGATATAACAAGCATTGCTTGTACTCCGTTGCTTTCCAATAAGCGATGTCCTCCAGCGTTCGACACACGCAAGGAAATTCACACGTCATGTTTCTCTATAGCTCTCAAATGTTTGCTTACCTGTCGCGCACAACTAACATCCAAAATCGGTCTACGTCCAGAACGAGATTTACTCCAAAGACCGATTAATCGTCGCATTATTCCGAGACAGACACTGTGCATGTAGTCGTTAGGAAACAGGGGCTATCATATCCACCGGTGGTACTTCGAACGGGGAACTGCCAGTATGATGACTACCTTGGAGACGATTTCGAAAATGAGAGGGCGCTGGACGCAATAGCCGCGTTGTGTGCATCTGTGACAGCTGTATAACCCAGAATGATGCTTAACCTGCTTAAGCTTTGCCTTGGCTGGAATATCTGTCACAACACTCTGCAAACCAATTCTGCAACGAAGACCACTCCCACGAATAATGATGCCAATTCCTGTATCAGGTCTTAAAAACTGATGCACGTCAGTAGGTCTGGACATTCCACAACATAGACCAACAATAAATACTCGCGACGTGGGGTCCAAGAGGCGACACAATATTGGCCATAAATGCTGCGATGAGCCACAAAACAAGCTCAAACCGTCAATGCGCAACTGGAAGACACGCGTGTCTTCTATTCGGTCTTACAGCGGAATACAAATCTTATCCCCTCTATCGGACGAATAGAGAAGATTCAAGTCGGTTTACAGATGCAAAATTGTATTCTATATATCGTGGCACCGAAAAAGCACCGATAAGAGATACACCGAACGGATATGAACGCAACGGATGCCCGCGAGTGTGCACAATCGATGAAGGACCGAAAGTGAAAGTGATTCAAAACGAGGTCGACGGAAACCTCGGAAACGTCAGTCCGGTAAAACGTACGAATCCGAAAAAAACAGTGAGGTCGATGTCAAACGTCAGAAAAGATTGTAGAGAAAATATAACCAAAATGATGTCCAGAAAACAGTCATTTTTCAGAACGATCGAGGCCACTACAGAAGCCACCCGCTAGAAAGCGTGGGAAGCTTTCGAAAAATGCCAGAGAGATGAAAGCATACGAATGATATTTGTGTGTGTGCAAAGTACGTGAATGTAGCTGTGCTGTAGAATGTTCACGGGCAGAATCCGTGGTATGGAGGAACCGTAGAATGATGGTCGGGCGTAAACCAGATTCGGTGCCAAGGTCATTAGTTGCGTGAATCGTAATCCGGGTATGCCACACGAATAACGTCCAGTGTCGGCTAACCGTTCACCAATATGATATCCGGAAGCCGAATCGGTAGGATCGTCAGTGGCAAGGAACGACAACGATAGGACTAATCCAGAACTCAAACATTGGTGCCAAAATTCTCCAGATTTCATGGGGCCAGCGAAGTGTACCATATGGCGACGTTCCATGAAAATGAAAAGAAACGAAAAACTGGTGAAGCAACCGCGTTGGATTTGACTAGAATACAGTAATAACTAATGAGGTATGTTAGCTCGTGTCGAAACGATAAACACAAAAGCTATCACTACGAAGAGCAATGATTAAGATCGTGTCTGACCCAGTCGCGAAAACGTGCTTGGCGAACGATCTTCCAGTTGGAAAGTGAGACTGCAGCCTCATTCACGGACGAGTGCATTGGCGTGCGCTGCTGAATTGAAAGTAAGCCAATATTCTCATTCGAAGGCGTAGGAGAGCCAAGAGGCTGCTGACTTGAACGTGAGATGACAATCTCATTCGAAGTCAAAGCAGTACCAACTGGGTGCTGTCCTGAACGTGAGACGATAGGCTCATTCGAAGTCGTAGCAGGCAACGCTAACTGCAGACCTTGACGTGACACGGACGTGTCGTTAACAGGCAGTGCAGGGTTAACATCAAATCTCATGTCAGCGGGCGACAAGTTGTCATCAACGTACGTGGCTTTGAGACGATCGATGCTAACTGTATCGACGCGACCGTGTCGATCAACCTAAAAGGTCTTATCGTGATGGGAAATCACGCGAAATGGACCTTCGTAGGGCTGTTGTAATGGTTTGCGTACCAAATCAACACGAATGAATACATGCGAACACGTTTCAAGTATAGTAATCAGCCGATCACACTCTGTCTATCACTTTTTAACTGTACGTTTCGCGCACGCGGCAACCGCAAGCGCTACTTCCGACACACTTGCTCGGAACACGCCAGCGTGCGGTCTCTGTACTCAGGCCCTGCGAAAATACACGCTGTTGACACTCCACGGTCTTTTCTCTTGACTTCCTCGACGAATGCGATCGCAGAAGCTCAGGGAGTGTGCCCTACAATGATTAGTGAGCCCGTTCCATTCATAATTTTAGAATAATCCCACTAAAGTGACTCAGCCAGGTCACGTTTTCGGTATATTTTCCTTCCCTTCGTCGACCACATAGTCGGTCTAACACTAGACAAATTTCTTAACGCGTTTTCGTATCTTCATTGGTTTTTTAACTCCGTAAATTTTTTTTCTTTTCATCGCCATTATTTATTGCTCAGCTTTTCATTCCCATTGATTCCGGGATTTCGTATATCAGGCGTTGCCAAAAATTTTCCGCAATTCGAGGCTACTTCAATTACACAGTATACTTATTTCATAGTGAATAAAGAGTCTAAGCCAGAGTATGGACCGGAGTGCCATGCAGCGCACATTAAAATACTGGATTTCGTACCGGAAGATCCGGAGGTGATCATCGCCATCTTCGAGTCTTGTTTCCAGGAGGCTCGCATATCTAGTCAGCAGTGGAAATATAATAAACTGCTCTCAGCAATCCCAGCCAGTATGATCCCACAAGTCCGGGATATCGTTATGAACCTACCGGATCACAACACGTACGACACATTCCGAGAAGCTCTGGTTAAGCGCGTGGTAGCTTCGGAAGAGAAATGTATCTGACACGTTCTCTCCGAAATCCAGCTGGGAGATATGACCCCATCGCAGTTGTTACGGAAGATGCGTTCATTGGAAGGTATGACGTCCATGGACGACGCAGTCTTGTCTCAACTATGGATGCAGCGGCTGTAGGATACCTTTGAGCAATACGTAGCCAAATTCGAAACGGATCCCGAAATCAGAACGCGATTATCCGTGAAATTCCACGATACTAGATTATCAAATGAACAATGACACGAAACAGATACAAACCTCAATTATGCGATCACAAGAAATCTAAAAACGAGAACCAAATTGCGGCGTGCGAGAAAGGAGCACGTGCGCCACGCATGTCCAGAATAGGTTTTGACAGAGTAGCGCGCTGGACGCGAACAGGCAAACGTTGGTTCGGGAAAACATACAGTGCATAGAACAAGTCAATAGTGTAAATACGCGAGTGATGTTAAGGAAACATGAAACTGCAGGATTAATGAAGCGAAACGAAGCTCTCGGCTACGTTGAAAAGGTGCCTGCAACCACCGACGGCCGGAAGGGGACCTGGTATCTACCTCGCCACCCGGTTATCAGCCCCAAGAAACCCGAGAATCTGCGGGTGGTTTCCGACTGTGCAGCCAAGTTCCAGGGCAAGTCGTTAAACGATCGCTTAGTACAAGGGCCTGACTGGACCAAGCCACTGATCGAAGTTTTGTGCCGTTTCAGAGTGGGTAGAGTGGCTTTGTCCGCCGACATCAGGGAAATGTTTCTTCAGGTGAAGATACCGGTAGAAGAGTGAGATGCGTTGCATTTCCTATGGTGGGAAGAGAACAACCGGGACAAAGCGGTGATAAATTGTAGGATGACCGTCCACCCCTTCGGAGCCATA